ACCTTTCAGGAAATTAAATCCCCTGGAAACAATGGTTTTACTGTCGTGTTTTACCTTGTTTAGAGGGCTTTTGGTTGACAGTCTGAACTATGCCTTCGCCGGTGGTACGCCTAGTCCAACTAAAGTTACTTTATGGCCTGTAAAACCCGGCACCTTTACCGGTGTAAATTGGTAAGCGTATACTGATCAGCCGAAATGCTAACAGAAGTTCTTGATATTCCGGTTTATTCTGTCAGTGTCACTCCTTTCAATATTAAGTTAAACCCAAAATATTTCTGAACCAAAAAAGCCAATACAGGTGTTAATTAAACAGGCAATGATTTTCTTGTTTCAGCAACAACAGCGACGCAAAGTGAGACGATTAATTTATTGCCCATGTCATTTGTAATACAGTAAGAGGGCAATTTACTACTGATGAAAGGTCAAGTCCTAATCAAGGGGAAACGAGTTACCTTTATCTCGAAATTCGTTATAAGGTTAGCCGTTAGGTCGTTTGTATAACCAGTTTACCGACGCAGCTAAGCTTGATGCGTCGTAAACTGGTTAGCCTGTTCCAGGCGTTCAGACAGTGGGGAGCGGTGCGAAGTAAAAAGGAGTGCGAAAAATTTATTAAGAGCTTTTCTTAAAACTAAACAAGAAAAAATCTCTTGCCAAATTTAGTCTAAGTTGATATACTGGGCTGTTTAGTACTTACAATAGAATCAAACTCATAATATATTGTTAACTCGTCCTTCGTCCAACTTACATGTTCACCCCGAATCACGTCCGCTCGGTCATTTATAGTCCTTGACCCACATTAGCTTCCTTTCTACCTCGAGTTTCGCTGGTCGATGCAGTTTGGTTGGAACAATAGCTATATATTATTTGAGTTTAGTGTTAGTAAACAGAAACTCCAGCCTTAAATTTTGGGTTCTAAATATCAAACCTACGAAAGGTAAAGTCAATGAGCCGAGAATAACGACAATCAAACCGATGCTAATCTGATTTTCTAGAACATTGTAAACACGAAGGCCAACCAGTTTACTAAATTAAATCATGGTTTGCATGGTGGATATTTTCAGCCGAACACTGGATCACACAATATCGGTCCCATTAAGATAATGGCGGATTTGTGAGAAATATGCTGTACGTTTGAGCTCAAGTTGTTTTACTGCTGCAGTTGTGGGATTGAGTTATGAGTCCATTTAACCCTTTGAAAAAAAATGAAGAAAAACACGTGTTACTAAGTAGCTTCAGCGGAACAGGTGTTAAACTGAATGTTTTTGTAGCCGGAATGAGAAAGCAATGAGGTAGTGTGGTCTGATACGGACCAACAGTGTAGACGGAAGTCGATCGTAGATCAGTGGGAATCTCACTGTTTTGGGGTAGTCAATTCCTCACTCCTGGAGGTTCAGGGTGACAAAATCAAGGCACGGCCGGAACTGCTTAAGTTTGAGCTTGGGCTGATTTACTGAGCAACTTTTGGATCCACTTTTGATTTTTCAATTCAAAGTTAAGAAATGGGAATGAAGAATGACGAAGGCCAGTTGAAGGCTTCAGCGCAAAGGAAGCAGTGATAACAGTCAATTAAGCGGGAAATAACCGGATGACCAGCTTAACAGAGGCCAACTTTACAGTAAATATGCAATGGGAAGCAATTTCCTTGAATTCCGCCGGCGATAAGCCGGACCGCTTACACAGAGGTTTCACTGTAAAATGCCTACTGATCAATAAATACTCAGAACTTTCGTTGTAGGAAGGCTGATCATTATCCACGATTGAAAGTTAGGCGAGGTCTTTATCTCTCTTACTGAAATTGTATTTTAAGATCTCAAATAATACAAATCGGATTTTTGTTAATTAATCTAAGCGGAAAAAGTCTCTTGCCAAAGTTTACATAGTGCTTCATTGGAATCAGCAAGAACCACACTGTCTAGCCATAGTTAATTGTTAAGTTTTAGCGCTTCGACTAGCTTCACCCTATTGCTGCGAGCAACTTCATACCAAATAGTTTCTCATCCTGAATTATTTATTGTCGATCCTTGTGCCACACTGACTTTTTTCTACCTCAGTCGTGTTGCGCTACTCGATGCATTCCGCTTTCATCAAATATTTTTAGCTTTTACATGTCAAGAAACTCCACCTGCTGACTTTTACTTTAAGTTCTTGGTTACAATTAAACCACTGCCATGCAATGGCAGCATGGCAGGAACTGTGAGTTTGAGCTTGGGCTGTTCTACAGGTGCAACTTTTAGTTTGACTGTCTTTTTCTTTCATTTGAAAATACAATCGTAGCTTCAGCATGACAGAAATACTGACTTGATCTTGGGTTGCATAAATCCTTCTCACTAATATTTATTAATAGCTTTTCTTAAAACTAAACAAGAAAAAATCTCTTGCCAAATTTAGTCTAAGTTGATATACTGGGCTTTTTAGCACTTACAATAGAATCAAACTCACAATATATTGCTAACTCGTCCATCGACCAACTTACATGTTCACCCCGAATCACGTCCTCTCGGTCATTTATAGTCCTTGACCCACATTAGCTTCCTTTCTACCTCGGGTTTCGCTGGTCGATGCAGTTTGGATGAAACAATAGCTATTTATTATTTTACATTAGTGTTAGTAAACAGAGACCCCAGCCTTACATTTTGGGTTCTAAATATCAAATCTGCGAGAGGTAAAGTCAATGAGACGAGAATAACGGCAATCAAACCGATGCTAATCTGATTTTCTAGAACATTGTAAACACGAAGGCCGACCAGTTTAAGAAATGAAATCATGGTTTGGTGGATATTATCTGCCGAGCACTGGATCACACAATCAGATCGGTCCCATTAAGATAATGGCGGATTTGTGAAAAATTGCCGTACGTTTGAGCACAAGTTGTTTTCTGCTGCAACTGTGGGATTGAATTATGAGTCCATTTAACCCTTTGAAAAAAAAGAAAAAAAACACGTATTACTAAGTAGCTTCAGCGGAACAGGTGTTAAATCGAATGTTTTTGTAGCCGGAATCAGAAAGCAATGAGGTAGTGGGGGGTACGTGACGTTTGCTACGTGACTACATCTGATACGGACGATAAGGCGATAAGACGGCGATAAGCCGGACCGCTTAAACAGAGGTTTCACTGTAAAATGCTTACTGATCAATAAATACTCAGAACTTTAATTGTTGGAAGGCTGATTATTTTCCACGATTGAAAGTTAGGCGAGGTCTTTCTCCCTCTTACTGAAATAGTATTTTAAGATCTCAAATAATACAAATCGGGTTTTTGTTCTTGCCAAAGTTTGCAAAATGCTTCACTGGAATCAGGTAGAATCACACTAGCTTTTGTTAATATTGTTAAGTTTTAGTGCTTCGACCAACTTCACCCTACTGCTACGCTTAACTTCATACCAAATAGTTTCTCATCCTGAATTATTTATTGTCGATCCTCGTGCCACACTGACTTTTTTCTACCTCAGTCGTGTTTCCCTACTCGATGCATTCCGTTTTCATCAAATATTTTTAGCTTTTACATGTCAAGAAACTCCACCTGCTGACTTTTACTTTAAGTTCTTGGTTACAATTAAACCACTGCCATGCAATGGCAGCATGGCAGGAACTGTGAGTTTGAGCTTGGGCTGTTCTACAGGTGCAACTTTTAGTTTGACTGTCTTTTCCTTTCATTTGAAAATACAATCGTAGCTTCAGCATGACAGAAATACTGACTTGATCTTGGGTTGTATTAATCCTTCTCACTAATATTTATTAACAGCTTTTCTTGAAACTAAACAAGAAAAAACCTCTTGCCAAATTTAGTCTAAGTTGATATACTGGGCTTTTTAGTACTTACAATAGAATCAAACTCACAATATATTGTTAACTCGTCCATCGACCAACTTACATGTTCACCCCGAATCACGTCCTCTCGGTCATTTATAGTCCAAAATCTAAAATCTACGAAAAGTTAGGTTATGTAAACAGATTTGTCCGAAAAATAGAAAGTTCTCAGGGATTTCGTTTCAGGCCGGGCACCGGGGACTCAACGTCTGGTCGTTTGACATGTAACGCCCGGTAGTTAACAGACGAAATAGTGATTTTTTAAAGTGGGAAAATCGTTTCTTTTTCTCATTTATTAATCAAAGATAAATTTGACCCTCTGAAGATCGTCTTCATAAGCAGATCCAGAGGCTGAGAGCAGCCCAGAAGCATCACCAAGATTTTCAATGATTCAGCTTCAGTGAACTGATTTTTCTGATGGGTCAATGCAACAACTGTACTGGGGACATTAAAATTTCTACCGGTAAAACATCTGTCGACGGACACTCTTCGTACGCTCTTTCCGAATGGAATTGGTTTTGGAATCAACTGAAAAACGAGCAACTGGAAACCGATAGTTATAAAAGCCAAATCAAAGATTTCATTTTTTGTAAGCAGTTTTTAATGCCTCTGAAGATCTTCTCGGTTAACCAATTCCGCCACAGGGAAAGCAGGAAATTTCATTTCCAATTTTAACAAAATTTCCAGGGGAAACATGCCCCCTGACCCCGGGACCCCCTAGAAGTTCGTGCCTCCGGCACTCAACGTTCGCGCCCGCGGCACGAATGGTGCAAGTCCACCAGCTAGACCTCTGACTCCGGTATTTGCAAATGCTACCGAAACTTTGAGTTCTAGTAAGTTTTTGGGCTTGGGCTGTTAGTTACTGTCGCAACTTTTGGATTCACTGTCCCTAACGAATTTTTTCATTGAAACTACAATGAAGTTGCTTCAGCATAGTAGGAAATCTGACGTTTGAACTTTGGTTGTTTTGGTGCTGCAACTTTTGGACTGTCTATTTTTGGTTTTGAAAATACTGAACTACGTAGCTTCAGCGCAACAGGTTGGAACTTAACTGATTGTTTTGCAGAATAGAGGCAATGATAAAGCACCTTTCAGCAGGCAGAGTATTTAAGGAACCTTGTGACCAATGCTTCAACACTTCATTCTCTCATTTGCTAGAGTGAAAATCACACGATAGACACTCAATTTTTGTCATGGACCTTAAACAAGAATTGGAATTGAGCGATACCAAGAGTCTGGTGTCGAAACGGCCTCGTTGGAAGTCTAAGCTCGTTATTGGCGGTGCTGTTACAGCAGTTTTGCTGCTAGGTGCAGTGGTGTCTATGGCTGTGTATTTTTCGCTGACCGCCAAACAGAAGTCAGCTCGTTTGGTAGAAGTTGATCTGAATGAGGGCGAAACGCTTACGTATCAAGTGGACCAACACATCCAGCTGCAAGGAAGCGATGTACAAAAAGGTGAATCTTTTTCATTTATACTTGGCTTATATCTACCTTATTCTAAAGTTAATGAAGTATATTCCGTAAAAGTCTTTTTTGTGCAGTTCTTCTTAATTCTTCAATAGCATATAAACTTTTTGATTAACTGTCTATTAAAGGAAAAGTGTTTATATTCGAGGCGGCCCAATGGCGTGGATTGGATGGGTCGTGTTAATCTCAAAATCGTCATCCTCATCATTAGGGTCTTTAAGCTCCAGCGACGAGACGGCAACGAGATGGAATTTGCGTTCTTTTAGTCTTTATCGCGATTATTCCTACCCACTTACTTTGTCAAATGTAGGCGAACCCTCCTGGAGTTGAATTCCTAGGCACCATATCCAAGTTCAGAAAGAGAAATTAAATTTCGTCGTTGCTTGTTTACGTCCTCCATAAAACGCGAAATTAGGAATCTTCACGTCGTGGTCGTGCAAAAATGGGAAAAGAAATGTACAAAAAAGTGTGATGCACGTGCAAGGTTCTTGTTTTGGTAATAGAAACTATTTTTTTTTGACGTTCTCCTTGCCGTCCGCGTCGTTGGATCATAAAGTCCCTATCATCATCATCATCATCATCATCATCATCATCATCATCATCATCATCATCATCATCATCATCATTATCATTGTCATTGTCATCACTATCATCCTTATCTTCTATATATTGGCCTAATTGCACTAACGTTGACATAAAAATCAGGAATTTATTAGCCAAGCAAATAACACGTTTTGATATTTTTTTTAAATCCTGATATCAATTTGGCAGTGAAGGTGTAATACTTCTTGACATTTTTCTTCGTACTTTTTCGCAGTAACCATCCGTGCGATAGTGGGCATCCGGGTTCTCAACAAGACTTCTGAGGAGTACTGGTTCCTAATGAAATTCAAGTTGTCCCTATTGGGTGAAAATCCGGCCATGAAGGAGCAAAACATAATGACAGACTACTTTCTAGTTCGACTCCAGATTGCCTCAAGGTAAAAGTAGTTGAAACTTACCAAATCAAATTTTCATTCAACGCTAACTTTTTATTTGCAGACTCAATTTTTTACTGTTATTCACAACAACACCACAAAACGTGAAAAGAAATCTTCGACGGCTTTTAGGATGTAGAGTTCGGAAATTTTTTCTCTTGACGGTGATACAACTGTGATTCTCCTCGTCTCATGTAAGAGATTACGGATTTCGGAATCCGGGAAAATTTTGCTTGTGAAATCTGGAATCCAGGGCTTTGGAATCTGGAATACAGCTCAAGGAATCCGGAATCCCACTGACGATTGAAATCCGGCTGATCCAAGTTCCACTGACAAACAATGGGATCCATTTCCTGGAATCCGGAATTCACAGCGTGGAATCTTCAGTGCACGTTCCTAATGAATTTTTTTCCTAGTGTGAATTTTCTACGATCGCCGGGTTGAATCGCCCAGAAAACTGCCTGAAACAAACTAAAGTGATAACTGTCCTTTCAAGTAGATTTTGATTTTCAAATCGTCTTTTTTGAAACATCGCTCACACTTCTTTGCTATCTCCTTGGCTGACTTGTTACCAATTTTTGATTTTAGGCCAATAAGCCCCGCAAGAAACAAAACCAGCGAGTCATTTGAAGTTTTCGGGCCTCGAGACCTTCATCCCGATCTTCTCCGTGAAGTATACAGCATTTTAGAGCAACTACTTCCAGCCGTGCAACGAAACCTTTACGAAGATGTTGACGGACAGAAAGCGGCAGATTCGAATTCACCCGATTATGAAGAATCTCCTTTGCTTCCTTGCTCTGTTAAAATGCACCGACAGGCAGTCACATCAGACAAGAACGTAGTTCTTATCAGGAATCATTTTGACCGGGCAGATTTTAAAGACTTGTCCTCCGAAATTGATTTAGATTTGAAATACTCTGATTCGGCGTTCATTAACAAGAGCAATGGAATGATCACAGAGAGCCGTTCTTATTTTTCAGAAGAGTTGAATTTCGGGGAACCAATTCATAGTAATAGCAGTTCTGATGTTAGATCTTTGAAAGTAGCTATGAAAAGCCTGGTTACCATCATTGAATTACCAAACTACTTCGAACAGGCGGAATCCGAAAGAGTAAAAGTCCACCTTTTCACAAGCCTCTCTCTTCCTAAGTCTAAGAGCACTTTTTCTGTTAAAGAAACTCGAAAAGTGCCAACAGGCCAAGCGGTTTCTAATTTAACCCTAACACCATCGGAGAATCCTTTGGCGAACCAAACGTACCATTCAACCAACTCGTCGAGCATTCTTCTTACACGATCCCGACGATCGACGAACTTAGCGTTCGATTCCTCTTCCACACTGTTTCAAAAGAGGATACTCGGGATAAACGTAAAGGCCATCGCAAAGTATAAGGTACAAGAAGGCGTAAGCGTGAGGGAGACTGTCGTTCTTCATATTGGAAGATTTGACACAGAATTAATTGACGAGGAGTACACATGGAGTCAATTACAGAGGCAACAACCTTCTCGTAGCTCATATTCTTGGAGCAAAACCATAGTAAGTGCATGTTCTCTTTCTTGGTATACTTTCATTAAGAGGATATTAACTAAGTTGTCTTTCAAAATTTAACCAGTACTAGTCAATCCTCAAAGATAATTAGTCGCGCGCGTGACTTACAATCAAGACAATTTTGGCAAGGAATTTTGATATGTAATAGAGGATTCTTTCCACTGGTCAAGAGAGGATAAACCTCTCTTGACTATGGTTCAATACTAGACAAGAGATTGCTTCACTGTCAGGTTGGAAGAGTCTAATTGTCGCTGGTACGTTATGAGCTACAGATAGTTGATCTCCATCGAGCAAATTTTTGTGCGTATTCTTACATTTTCAGTTTAGTCAGTAATTCGATTATTTCGTCTTCGGGTAACCGTGAACGATTTCTCCATTTCCTTGTGTTCACCAAAGCCAAAATAACGTACCAGGCTGCCTCGCCTCTGCCTGAAAACGAGGTGGCCAGTGTGTATTGGGGCAACATATTGTTCCCTGACTAAGATAGAGGGGCCAATAACTAAAATCAACCAATCAGATTGCTCCAATAACGGTCTAATGTTTCCTAAGTATTAGACCAGGCCAGTTGAATCACTGAAATAACATAATTGTATTCTTCCTCCTAAATGGCTTTTTATCCATTCTAGTAAATCTTTTCTGATTCGAAAGTTACTTTCAAGTTTTTGCAATAAGATCTCGTGTGACCAAGAGAGAATTCTCTTGATGTGACACACTGTTAAAGGGTTTCTAAAAGTCCACAAAAGCCGCCACCAAAACGCTGCCTTTCTCCATACCTAGTAAGAGTTCCGGGGAGTCCCCTCGTCTATAAGCCCATTGCTTGTCAGTAATCAGCTTATTGGCCTCCAAAACATGCTGCACCAGTCTGAAGTTAATTTCTGCTTCGAAAATTTTACTCAGACCGCTCAGAACGGAGACTGATTTATATATAATAGCCACAGTCTGTCTCGTCCCATAATATTTATACAAGAGTAATTTAAAAGTGTAGCCATTGTTTTAGTCTGAAAACTTGTAAAACTTTTATTATATAGGCCCCTCTTCCACGAGAGAAAACTACCCTTCGTTCGGTACTGTAGCTGACACAATAGTATTCCCTGCCAGCCATAGTCGGAAAATGTTTTAGTAGAAAGCTGGTAGAAAGGGACGGCTCAGCAGCCAAAAAGTCAATTGTACAGTAGAAAGCGCCGCGACTAAGAAGCTGGTTTTTTTAAAAAATAATGTTACTCTAAGCAGTACATAGGAAGGTCAAATACAGAAACGGAACAAGATTTAATCATGGGTTTTAAAGCCTGTTAGGCTAAAATTTACAAGTTAGGCCCCCTGTATACAAGAACCTTTTTATCCTAAAATTTGAAACGGGCTCTTATTTTCTAAAATATATATAAAAAAATTTACAATTGGGCGAATACGATAAGTCAAAATTCAGAATCCTCTTTGAAGACATAGGTGTCTTAACACTCCAACTGCAATGTAATGGTATGCAGATTTTATGTAAGGAATAAGCTGAATATACCATGCACTAAATACTCCTTAGCTTTAATGTATTGTTTTCTTTAGAAAATAAGAATCTGTTCATCAAGAACCAACGATTTACCATTTATGTAAGAACCTGTTACCGCTACTATTTTTTCTACACTTACTATTACTAAGTGTGCTTAAGGCATTTGCGTTTATTTTTTCTCATCACAGGACATTGGAATTCCTGTACTTGCCTTCAGCCTTGGGGCATCCTTCAGCCTAGACTTTAAAGCCGGTTATTCAGTATCGTATCCTAAGTCAGTGAGCTTTTCAAGCATTAACTTTGCCGCGCAGGTAAATTATCTAGTATTTATCTGCTTGTACTGGACTACTCTTAGCTTAGTGGGCCCTATTAATTAATGAATTGTTTATAAAGACGAAAAGTTAACAGTGGCCTTTATCCCTCTCATTGAAAATTTATTTTGAAATACTAAAATACTACTGCCGATCACACCACCATTTCACAACTGTGGCCGATTTAGAGCAGTGCACCACATAAATTAACAGCGGCGAGGCCGGCGCCATTTCTAGACGCTTCACGACCTACGTAGCAAGAGCCAATTTTGCTCTGAATCCTCTCAAAACTAGGTGGTTGTTGCGGCAATAGGTACTCAAGCGTTAGAACACTGTACTTTACCAGTCAATGTGGGGGATTCCATCCGAGTATTTTAGGCTACTCAGTAGGTGCCTTCAAAGTTGACGGGCGAGAAGTCAAGTTAACGATAATCAAAGTAATTTGATCATTTCATTGCTTTTGTGATTTTTTGACCAAGACAAAATCTCTGGCAACGATTTTCTTCTTTATTAATGACTGTTGATTTCGTCTTCAGATCAGGCCTTATGCCGAAGCCACAGCTAGCATTCAAGGATACCTCTCTATACTTCATGTAATCAGGGCCGGTGTGTCGGGAGATGGGACCATAGTTGATGTTGGTTTGCCTATGTCACTCTCCTTACAAGTACACCCCTATAGACGGGTGTGTGCGACTGTGTCTGCCGACCTGACAGCATTGAAGCTGACTGCTCGTGTTTACTATCAGTTATGTTACATCATTGGTTGTGGTTCACGGAAAACTCTTTTTAGGCTAGCGTCATGGGATGCAATTAGATGGAACAGGAAGCTCATACAGAGCTGTGGTTATCTCGTATGAGTGAATAAGGGGTCTTTTTTCACCATTTTTGATACGCTTAAGGAGGTGATTATTCATAAGCAGGAAGACTGGCAAATGGGGTGGGGTGGGATAAATTAGTTTTGCGTTTCCTTGAGGGTGAAGCAGAAAACTCTTTATAAGTCTAGGCAAAAAAGTACCGCTAAGCATCATATCCGAATCATAACCAGTATGGTTTCTAAAAGTCTATATTACAGAACGCGGTAACAAATCCAAGGTTCTTAAATTCGAGTAAAGATAAACATTGAATCCTTCAAGGTTATGTATACGTGGAAAGGGCCGATTTCATTCAGTAAATTGTTTGTCTGGGGATATCTAGTGGTAGTTCGGTTAAACCTGAACTAGCGTCTAAAACCTACAGCTATAACCAAAACCAAGTAAAAGTTACAAAATGGCGCAAAAATTGCTGGAATTCCAGCGCTTAAAACACTGTGAACTACCCCTTAAAATTCTGGAAATTTTAAAGAATTTTACTGTCACTCATGCCTTCGGACCATTCTAGACACTCAGATTCTCGGAGGTCATACATTTATAATTCTTAACCTCTCTTGTAAATAAATCCAAGATCCGCCCTAGTTTGTATTGGACTGAGCTGGCGCAAATTTAGCTTTGTGAAGTGTTGCTAAAGATACTTTAATTACTAACAATCTTTATAATTATGTAATTATAAAATTATAATTGTTAATTATAATTAAGGCTTGGCTTGAAAAAGAGCATATCGAACATTGGAATTTAAAGGCCTTAGTTTGTACATTGGATCATTACGTCAAATTATGCATTGGTTTCACTTTTCCGTTACGTCATGCCTACAGATGACGTCATACCTACAGACAATCGTTTTTACAACTGTAGGGGTGACGTTATTTTGCAGACAATAGTTTTACACACGCTGATACACGTGTTTAAATGAATAAACTCACCGCATCTCTCATCCATGTTTTTAATATGAATATAATAGGTCAGTTTCCAATTTTCAAAGTTAGCTCCTTGAATCTTAATGCGAATTTCATTTGTTTTATACGTGTCAGCCACGGAGCCAAATATCAATTTGAACAATTTGAAACTAGCCTACTGCCTTCGCGGCCCTCAGTGGATAGCCTGAAATGTCATCCATCTCTTCGCACCATCCCCAAACGGGCGGAAAGGCGAGAGAGACGTCTGAATTTCTAGCGTTGTAATGTAGCCCCGTAATGTCACAGACTTTCGCGAGGTAAGTCGTCGCTGCTGGGAATTCAGACGTCTCTCTCGCCTTGCCGCCCGTTGGGGTATGGGACGAAGAGACGGATGACATTTCAGACTACAACATGTATATTCTATCACCTCCTAGCGCTGTCTCTCGCTGTAAACCGGGAACATTGCGGAGCTCCTTGCATACAGCGGGATTCAGAAAAGCGGTTTTATGTCTGGTGATGACACGTTCAGGGTTAACGCAAAACTCAGTTTAATAGTATTAATACCTGTATGTAGTCTATCTATGTATTAGAAGTGTCTCTTTTACAGTTTTCGGCTTTCGCTCGAAAGGCGAACAATCTTTTTTCGTTTGCTTTTATGAATTAGCTTAGAACAACATTTAGGGCTACAGAGAAATAATGTTCAGTAAATAAAGGAAATGTTCAATTGTGTTTAAATCAGTAAAAGCGAATGGTTTAGTTTTAACTGCATGTAATGGTGCGTAATGGTTTGGTCAAGATGTTATTAAGTATCAGTGAAAGTCGACTGATTTTAATGTGGCGAGTAAAACTATAGACAATCTCTAGATTTTTGCTCCAAAAATTGATAAATAAACAGAAATGACAAGTACAGTTTCCGGGGGTACTTTAGGTATTTCTGGGTGGGGATGTGCCGCTGGGACCCTGGAACCCTTAACCTATACTAGAGCTAGTTCAGCTGAATTTTGCTACCCTATACTAAAGTAAACTCTTCAAATCCCCCTATCCTAGAGTAGCTGTTTCCCCAGTCTAGATAAAATCTTCAACCAACCGATCAGTTTCTTGAAATATGATACCCTATTCTAGACCCAAACGCTCTGATTTATATACCCTATCCTAGAGTAAACTGCTTGAAAACCATACCCTTTACAGCGGCACATACCTATATTGCCCATATATGGCAGTACCCCCCCGGGTACAGTGTATGTTGATCATTTTGGTAGAGGGAACAAGCCTTTTGAGGAACATAAATATGCACTTTTTTGCGAGATGATTAGGTGTGATTTCATTTGTAATATGTGAGTAAAAGAGAATAAAATCTTCGTCGTAGAAAGAAAGAAGTCGATGAGTTGATCAATATCTTAACAGCTCTTATCATCCTTTATGAAGGCCCGGGGGGGACTCCGCATATGAAAGGGGTGGGGATGCTCGTCGGAAATTTTGAATTAAACCCCTAAAGGAGACCGATCTGGGCGTGGCCCAAGCTTTTTTTGACCCGTAAAAGAGACCATTTTAAAACACAGACAAATGAGAAAACTTGGGTTATATGAATGTAAATGAAACGAATTAAAAATATACATATCAAATATATATTTTTATATTTTTTCGTGTGCAACCCTAAACGTGACCTTCACGGCTAAATATGATAGCGTTTTGCCCAGAACACCCTAAATGAGACCAAAATCCGAAATTTACACCGCTAAGGGAGACGACGAGCATCCCAACCCCTTGCATATGCGGAGTTCCCCCCGGGTATGAAGGTGTCCACAGTGAGCGTATCTAATACCTAACACACTTATTGCAGTATAACCTAGTCTAATCTCCTCGCAAAGTAGTCTGCTACGTAAGACAGTTCCACGCCGTGGATTTGCGGATTCCAGGTACTGGATTTCGGATCTTTGTGAGTGGAATTTGGATTCCGGATTCCACTTGTTCGAGGAATTGTGGATTCCTTGAGCCGTATTCCGGATTTCAAAGCCCGGGATCGTGATTCCACAAGCAAAATTTTCCCAGAATCCGGATTATCTTACATATGGGCGATACACAGTCGTTTTTAGTGTCGTCACGGATGTTGGGAGGAGCGTTGCGTGACGACACTAAATACTCGTAAGGGCAACTTTTCTTGGCTTTGAAGGTTAATGGCCTACCCTTACCCTTTTATATACCATTTTTGACTGAAAAGGTACCCCTTTCGAACACCTTCTATTTACAAAGGGTACTGTACCGCTTTTACATACCTACAAGGGTCCTACAATAGTTTAGAACGTTGCAGAGCTTTTAACTGCTGAAAATGGAATGTCATTAAGACATCAGAAAATCATAAAATCAGGATATTTATCGACTTTTTCACAGCCATAAATACTTCTGTACAGGGAGTAAACCTCCTGGACTGATTCTTAAGGTATTCGCAGGGTTTGTTGTGCATACAGACTCTGGTGGCGCTAAATCTAGCATATAATTTTTCCTGTACTCTGTTTTAAGAATCAAAATTAAACTTAACCGTATCAATTAAATTTCGCCGGTCTGTTGTTGCTCTTTTTCTGTGAAGTGTTCAAAAAAAAAAATGTGCTTCTCAGTCATGCGCAGCCTTAAACACTGAGTCAGGGTTTGAAGGCCTCGGCGACACACCTCTACCAAACCTTTCCTTGAGTGCCCCCCCACCCCTCGGGGTTGTACGGCACAAGCTGTAGGGGAGCACACTGGTTTGCCTTTGGTCGATGTATCCAAGGCACTTGACTCTTAAAACCACAAGGTTCTCCTGGGAAAGCATGAGCAAATAGGAATATCAGGAAAAAACTTTGGCATTGTTTATTATAATAAAGTCGTACTTTGCAGTCAGACGGGGATATGATGGAGCCCCGTTCAATTGTTCTGTATTTCCCCCAAGGGGAAATTTTAGGTCTACTTCTATTTTAAATGTCTCTATAAATTCTTAAAAGAACTATCTTGGCTGGAACTCCAGTCCCTCTTAGATTTAACCATGTCGGATTGGTCACGAAGGGCGACTCCTGGCTTTGGGTTTGGGGGTGGTGCTTATTGCTAATCATCCCATCTCTTAAAAACCTCACTATTTTTAGAAAACCAGATCTCTACGTGCGAAAAATAAAATTAAAGTTAGAAGTTAAACGATCGAGCTTCAGCAAACACGTCTTGGAAAATTCAAAACAGCGCTGAAACAAACAATTAGGGTATATCCCCTACCTCCTCATAGCACATGAACTGGCTCACGCAAGTAATGCAGTGAAATAGTCACTGAGGTGGTTATGACAAAGGACATTGTCCACGGTCTAATTTAGAACTGGTTATCAGAAGAAAAGGTCAAAATAAAGCTGTTCAGAGAGTGCAGTCCTCGCTAAGTGAAAGGGAACTATTCCGAAATATCATGCAATCTCCGTACCAGTCACCAATTGGCGTACTGGCGGGATTCATTACTTTTGTTTACTTTAAGTACAAACAAATCAATAATCAATAATTTTTTCTACTCTCACTAAATTATGTACCCTGTTTAGGACAGGGAGAACAAAAACAATTCCCTATCCAGTGGCTCATCCCCGTTTATGCCATATACGAGAGTTTCCTGCCCCCCTCCCACCCCTTCTAGGAGGCTCTCAGCGATCAAGCTACACCCCTTTTCCCTACTTTCCCATCTCAAAGGCCTTTTCTTTCTTTACAGAACAAAATAACTTATTCTATCGAACATTCATTATGATTTGCGTAGGTTCAAAGCCATACTCGAAGTAAAATAAAGTCTGTTAAGGTGGATTTCACTGCCGCGCAAATTTTACGCGCTTGAATAAAATAGAGGCAACGCCGATGAAAAGTCACGCGTAAGCGTAAAAGTTGAACCTTGCTCAACGTTTACGTTTATGCGCGACCTTGACAAGCGCGTAAAATTTTCTTGCGCAGGCACGTAAAAATTACGTGACAGTGGAAATCCACCTTAAGTGTTTTCTTGTTTGTAGGCAAGTTAAGGTCAATAGTTTATTTCAGTTTTCGTAGTCTGTCAGTATAAGCCGCGATGATCATTCCCCATTTTTCTCAGTTCGCCTTTTC